GTGAACTTTGCTTACCTGGCTGGCTTTCAAGCAATATAATTCGTGGACCGACCCTTTCTGAAAATGATCGACATCTTTGTATGTGAGATGAATGTATAAGGCGCAATTCTTAACAAAACTTTCTTCGCAAAACACCGCATTCTGTCACAAAGAGCGAGCTATGTCGCGTTTCTTGTCCCCAGTTTCCATGGTCTACGCATGGAACGTCTGGGACGATGACCCCCCTTTTGGTAACCAAAACGCTAGCATTTTAAGACTCGGGCTTTCCTACAGAAGCCCGAGTAAAACTTAGCACAGCCATTCAAAACAGTACAGTTCCAAGCCTGAAAAATCGCACCTCAATTCAATCCCATCTTAAAAAAAACAGAAAACTGTTTCGAGCCACTTTAAATAATTATTATAACAATGAGGCCTTGATTAATGTCAATGTTTTACTGCCACTGAGCACAAGCCCTAGGATTTCATGGTAACGATCATTTTAGTACTGTGTTGTTGCCATGATTCAGAGATGATGGAACCGAACAACCATTTGCCACTGACATCTTCAGCCTTGCTGATCACAATTCGTTTAATAATTTTTTTTTCTTTTCTACTTCTCGACAAGTAGATCCATTCCTTTGATTACCACTCCGATTATATATGAAACTAAGATGTTGTTTCACGTCACCAGTCTGCCATCTTGTATCTATCCCGAAGTGCATCACACGGATGTGCAAGGCAATCTAGGATGGAATTAAGATGGTAGACAAGTGGCCGAGTCTGGGTGAACCAGCTACAGTTGTTGGTTTTCATCCTAGCAATCAGTTTGCATGGCATCCACTGTGAAGAAGAAGAAGTTCAAAAGTTGACTATGTATAGTTAAAAAACATTCGAGAAGAGGTAGTTTTGCATTTATTTTAAGACCGTTATGGAGAACATCACTTTGTTTATAAATTTAATCTTACCAGCCAAGATCCATTCCACTGAGTACATGTAAGCTTAATATGATATTGTAATATTATAATGTAAAAATGCTAACATTGCAGTCAGGGATGGACATTAACAGTATACAATTGAAGTTGTGTTTGACGCTGACTCTACTAAATGTTAAAACATTTATAGCTACTTATACAAAGATGTCTTGACCGAACAACTTCAGTCTTTGTCAGTTTAAAAAGCCAACTGAAATTACTGGCTATCGAACGGTTCACAGTTCTGTGTGTGCTACTTTATTACGACGTGTTCATGCATTATAATGTGTTCCTTTCATTTCCTTCTCTCTTCTCCAATAGTGTTTTTGCTTTCTTTTTCCCCTCGGGACCAGTCATTAAGTGTTAACTGTAGTCCAAAACTTTGAAACTATTTCTCAAACTGAGTAGATCACATGAACTCTGTAACAGTAGCCGGATGCTGCTCTCTTTGAAACCTGCAAGGTTCACAGTACCTTGACTTCTCCTGCTGCTTTGCTTTGCTTTCTTTTGTTTCCCATTACGTTTATACCTTCTGATTTATATAGTAATTTAGAAATGTATTGTCCCATTTTCACTTGACTTCTCTATAGTTAAATTTGATTGAAATGTACACTGTGAAAATAAATACAGTGAACACCATCTTTTCCTTATTTCTGGTCATTTGTTCTCAACTCCCAATAGCTTGAACTCCTGATAACTCGAACTCTTGATAACTCGAACCTTTTTTAATTTCCCTGGAATGTTTGAGTTATCAGGAGTAGACTGTACATTTTTAAGTTCTGATAACTTATTATGCCTTATAATAAATTAAAAGCATATAATTTATATAACTGTCCCAATTTGTTTTGGCTCAAAAAAGTGCATTTTGTTGACTATTTCTTCCATTTACAGTGTATGCTAGAGAGCAAAGACAACACAATTCCTATGATTTGGGCTCTGTATTGATCTCAGTTCTGTTGGAATTGGTTCAATACACTGTTTTCACTGGTTCGCAATGGGCTTTCATTACTTTACACTAACTCTCTTACATTTTTGATGTAAAGCAATGGGCTTGTAAGTCTAAGAATACTAACCCAGAAGGGCAAGTTCATATCATGATGATTGAATTAATATTGTTCTTAGAGATGTTGTTATTGTCAACAGGAGCCAGAGAATGATCCACGTTATTGCAGCTATTTGTGGGTGGCCAGAGGCCCTCTTGTTCTTGAGAATTGTCCAGAGACACCTGCCACCCTCACTCTATACCAACTGGTGTTTGCATCAAGAGATGTACTTACAGGTTATGGGGTTATCTATAAGGTGGGTTTGTTTCTCAAACAATTCTATTTGTGATAGCCTGTGTGGCAGTTATTTAGAGGGGAAGGTGAGGGAAAAAAATGTAAGTGTGAAGCACAATTGTAGGGGTTGGTAGGGGGGGAAGTGCCTGCAGATGAACATAAAATTCCTGATGGGTGAGAATTAATTGTTAAGTAAGTGAACCATTGCTCTGATTGGTCATTGATATGTCATCCAAGTGCTTTGGCTCACCTCACTCAATTATGTTCAGATGAATCAGGAGATGATGCTCTTGAGCAACTCCTTCAAGAAACACTCCTTTAATTGGAAGAAAAACAGTTTGTAAGTATGATCTAAAAGTGGTGCAGAACAAAGCAATCAGACAACTGTTTGAATGGAAAAAACTGCTAGCCATTGTGCCAACAGACAATGGAAAGAGCTTGGTATCATAGCTGCTAATTTTGGTTGCACGAAGAACCTACCTGCAAGCTAAAAATTTGTCCACCTTCACAGCTGTTGAGTTAGTAAGCAGATCTACTTGGAACAGATAGAAGGCAAGTGTTTAAGAGGGGGCCAGAAGAAGTGCTTCAAAGGTGTGCTGAAAGCAAACTTCAAGAAGTGCAGCATCGATGTCACTCTTTGGGAGGAGAGAGCAAAGGACAGGCCTCTCTGGAGAACCACTATCAGTGAAGGAACTGCAACTTTCGAAGTGAGATGTCAAGAGTTGGAGGAAAATGAAGGCCTAGGAAAGAACGGCAACAACAACCATGGCCTGCTCTTCTGCCCGGTACAAGTTGTCCACAATGGGGTAGAACCGTTGGGGCAAAAATTGGGCTCAAAAGCCACCTGCAGACACACCTTTGATCAATACGAAGACTATTGTCCCCGACCTAAACCAGGGATAGCCACAACGACGAATGCCACTAACCAGCATTGTAAACAACCAGATTTGTTGAAGTTGAGGCCATGAATTTGTCTGCCTGTAATTTGGCAGAAAAGCTGGAAAGATTGGATGATGTTGAAATAGGCAAATTCGAGATTGTGTGTGCATCAATGCCAAGTGTCAGAAATAGAAGTTTCTCTGTAAATTATTTACTGCAAAAGGACTCTGTCTTCAGTGGATGTCTATTGGCTTGTGTAGTTGACAAGTCACATACAGGTTGTATAGTAGAAACATGGACCAGTTTAGGGTGAGAGATGTTATTTTTTCAGTGTTTTCAGTGTTCTGAGTTGAATTGCATACTTAATTAGGGGGGAGAATGGCAAAAACAATGGCATCCATGCAGGCATCCTCCCCCTCCCATCACTCTTTGAGCTTACTGTTTTCCCCTGTCCCTCCCCTTTAAAATCATTTTTCTAAAGAAGCTGTAATTTTTTCATCAGGACCTTAGTGGTGTTGGTCGTAGGTTTGAACATCAACTCACTGCTGATGCTCATCATCTTGCTGATGCTACCTCTGTTGGAAGTAAAATTATTTGCTGCTACACGTTAGGTAAGCACTTAGACTCTCTAGTTCAGCTTTAACATCAAAAGAGCCAGTGGAACTCATAATCAATGCTGTGAGCTTAATAACTAAGTGGGAAGGCTGCATGCAGGGAGAAATACAGTACTTTGCTCATGGTTCGGGTTGTGTATGGACCAACTACTTATATGTTGTTCTTTATTGTTTATTGTGGTTCTTTACTGTAAACACCAATTTTGTCACATGTGTCATGTTCCTGCAGCAGCAGTGTAAAATGGGGTGATTGCATTTTTCTGATCCTGGCTTGTAGGAAACCGTTCCTGAAGACACTTTTGGACCCTCAAATTTGTCTGCTCCTTATTTCCCTTCTTTCTTTCTTTTTTTTTTTGGAGAAGCAAAGTTTAAATGTAATTGCCACTGCACTATGTCTGCTCATATTTTCCACGCTTTCAGGACATTTGAGTCTTTACATGCAAAACTGGTAAAACCTTTTAGTGAAAAGTTTGTCCTTTTATTCAGAAGTTATTTAATTTGAAGCACTCATTGACTTTGCAAAAGCAGTGTATTTTTCATTAAGTGACCTCCTGGATGAAAGGGGATAATTAAGACAAAAGGCTATATTTTACTGAGCACTAATTCCGAATCTAGCTGCGTAGTATACAAAAGCATAGCACATGTAAAAATCTTAATTTCTTGTTGCAAATCTTACCTATCAGTAAGACTAGTCTACTACTGCTAATACTCAGAAGTTGTATAAATCATGTCAAACATCCCTGTAAAGTCCTACACAGATGTTTTTGGTGATTTGAATATGAAAAGAAAGGGAGAAGGAAAGGACTAGGAAACATCAAAGTATTAATTTGGCCAATTTGGTGCTTAAATATGTATGCAAGTGGAGATTCTTCTCATTTTTTCAAGGAAAGTCAAAGGATACTCTACTTGCAGGGAGTTTGTGTGGTTAACATTTCCAGTAGAAAGGTAGATAAAATGGTACTCATAGTCATTTCTTCTGATGTAGAAAAAGGTGGAAACTCATTTGATAGTCCAAGAATGGATGAAGGTTCTACTGTTGAGAGTAAGTGATCAGTTCTTTAGTTACACTTTAACCAGTACATGTACCATGGAAATATACCTAATTTCTTGAATCTGCAAGGGAAGGAAAAATTTTCATGAGCAATTTGAGTTTGAGATTTGTTTTGAAAGTAGACCTGTTTTAAAAGTACATGTAGACTTGTTTTGAAAGTAGTTTTTTTTATCCCAGCAATATAAGCACAAATTAATAGGACTTTGCTCTCTTTTTTCAGGATTCTTTCTCAAGTTTTAGGATGGGTTTCCATTTTTCATGGTTTAGGATGGGTTTCCATGTCTCATGGTGTAGGATGGGTTTCCATGTCTCATGGTTTAGGATGGGTTTCCATGTCTCATGGTTGAGGATTGATTTTATATCTTATGGCTGAGGATTGATTTCTATATCTCATGATTTACATGTAGGATTGGTTTCCATGACTCTTGGCTGACTTTGTCCGCATGCTCTTTCTTTCTTGTCTAGAAAAGGTGCCATGTCTTCCTAACATGCAGAGCACTTTGACCATATGGAATCTTGTATACAGCACATTTTTGTCTGTCACTAAGTGGTTCGTGACAAGTGACTTAAGTCATTTCAACTTCCTTCCAGGTCTGAAAGCCACACAGAAGGAGTGAGTGTGGCTCAGCAATTCCCCTAAACTACTCACTGCAGATAACTCTGTCAGTTATGATACGGTCTCAGCCCCACGACTCTGTTATTTATCTTGTTCCTCACTATCTGTACATTTTTGTTCCACTGATGTTGTCTTTGTTCCATAGATGTTCTCATCATCTCCCAGGGGTATCCATTTGCTTCACACACATCTTCGATGTTGTGTAGTTCTTCTGCCGGGTGTCTTTTTTTTTTTTTACAGAGCTCTTACTCCTTCTGCAAATCATTTTGTAAGGGCCCTCTTCATTCTGTCTGGGTAGTTGCTCATTTGTGTCACATTATTTTGTTTGTACAAGTTTTCTTCCAGATTATGGTGCACTTTGAGTCTATTTCAAATCCAATACATGCTACAACATCTCCTTCTTCATCCTCTTTTGTGAACACATTTACTCCTGGCTCAGTAATATTGAGGTGATCTAGATTATCTTTTTGAGTTTCTCTTTCTTTGCACCATGTCTTGGTTGACATTGTAGCTGTCATCCACACACATTTACCAGTACTACTCAAGAATAGAATATGGAGATGTATATGAGGAGTATGAAGAAAGCCAGTCAGCATTACTGAAATATCTGTTCTAAAACAAAACAATATTATTAATTAAGAATCCTGAAAAACAGAGAGCAACTTTTATTTTTAAACATGAGAGGTGAACTTTTCAGATATTCGGTTAAAGTAAGCAGATTCTCATAGAAGTACTTCATCCCTTTTGGCTCATTAATACAGATTTTTATTTAAATCAAAACCTTCTATACAGAATGTGGCTTAATTACTATGAGTGTCTTTGTTGCAGTTGATTATGTGCGAGATCTTACTTTAGCTATGTGTGTGTGGGAGGCTCCAGCACATGATCTGCATTCCAGGCCCACATGCCATTTAGGAATCTTTGATATCAATTGCTGGTACCATTCACAAATGCCTCCATCTATCAGGTGAGCAAACTGGCTTCAGTGTCAACACAAAGTTGCAATTTCTTTGTAAGTTACATATATGTTCATTATATATTTTTTACTAACTCCTGTTAAAAATAAATCATACTGTACATCGTTGCAACATTGCATTTCTTCAAGTCTAACCACACTTTCTTTTCTGTATGTGGTTAGGGATGCTATGTTTGGTAGTAAGGATCCTACATGTCCATTCTTTGCTTTCTTTTCACTGGCGGACATTTTAGATGCTGCATCCCCTGATGGGATTGTGGTAGGTTATTCACAGTAGAATTAGTAATTAAGGACACAAAACCTACAAGTGCCTTCACTCTTGCAACTCAGACAGAGGTGGAAGCTGGAGGCTGTTTTTGTATCTTCCAAACTTAGAAGATTTGATGGCTCTGAGGGATGAATAAACCTTTGTCACAAAATGGCAAAATGATCTTTGAAAGAACCCAAGATGAGCTATAATGTATGCCTTACATTAATGAGTTAAGGAGGTTCAAAGCAGCGTGTTTTTCAGGTGTACACGTCCCGTTCATGAAGTACACGTATTCATGCATATTCATGTTCATGTAGTTCTAAAGGTCAAATATTTGAATATTTGTTTACTTGTAGGAGTTGAGAATGTGAATACAGTAACATGTCCCAATGGACTAGTTTCCTGAAATATGCATGCATAGTTTGTTGTTTTATCTTTTTGGCTATTTCAATGTGGACCTTTCAGTACAATGCTGGCAGCTTCTGAGCACTCAGAGCACATTATTTTCAGTTATGGTAGGCTCAAGTTTAGAGCTCATCAAGGTCATGTGCTTTTTTTGAAGTTGACCACTGACCAAGTACATGTAGTGGTTTTTTGATTGGATTGCGGGCTCAAGCCAGGTTGACCTACTTTAATCAGGGCCGTTTTGGTCGGAAGGCCGTTTTGGTCGGAAGCCCATTAGCACTAACCCAGGATTAAAAGTTAACTGAGTATAAATATTTCTTGTATAAAAATGCTTTTCAGTGCTTATTTCTTGTGTAGTTTGAGATTATTCAAACAATATAAATCGAAAAACTTCCTGCAAAGTTAAAGAAACACAAATCAAAATTCTCATTTATTCCCGAATAGCTTAATCAGGCTTTGAACAACCCAGCCCAGGAGGTCCGCTTTTAGGCTTGGCTAAATCTATATATACTTTTGTTTTTGTTTTTTAGGATGTGTTTGTAGATGAAAAGTCTGTTTGCAACTTTGTATCAAGTGCTGGATCAACACTAGAGCAGCACCTGTGGCCAGCTTCTCTCAAGTTTGGTGAGTATTAGATTTCTGCATGATTGTAGAATTTGTTGTAAAGCAGTCATGGTCATCATAGAGTGTTGTGGGGTCGTGAGCATGTTCTTGTGTAGCTTACACAAAGTGTTAGGTCACACGACAGTGGCAAACACATTAGAGTACAAGGTAAATCATTAATGCAAGAAAGAAAAAGCAAAGGTCCTAGTTCAATACCATGCATTACATACATTACTAAAAGAGGATAGCTTACTTTAATGTACAGTACCCGTCAAATGTAAGTTGACAGTCACTCGAAACGCGAATGACTCGACTCGATCCTCGATCCTCGAAACTTGAAAACTTCGAGTATTGAGTCTCGAGTCAAGTCCTTCGAGTTTCGAGTC